TGCTATAGCACACGAAAATCATCGAAATAAGGGGTATACTCGCTTCGGGGCTCGTTTGACCTTCCAAATGGGTCGGACAAGCCGTGATGGCCAACCGTATGCATAGACAAGGTCTTGAAGGACGTCCACGAAAATTTTTGGCATTTTTGACGTCGGTATCCGGATAACCCTAAAATGGTGTGTTATAGCACACGAAAATTATCAAAATGAGGGGTATGCTCGCTTCGGGGCTCGTTTGACCTTCCAAATGAGTCGGACAAGCCGTGATGGCCAACCGTATGCATAGACAAGGTCTTGACGGACGTTCACAAAAAAATTTGGAATTTTTGATGTCGAAATTCGGATCGCCCAAAAATGGTGTGCTATAGCACACGAAAATCGTCGAAATGAGGGGTATGCTCGCTTCGGGGCTCGTTTGACCTTCCAAATGGGTCGGACAAAATGTGATGGCCAACCGCATGCATAGACAACGTCTTGACGGATGTCCACGAAAATTTTTGGCATTTTTGACGTCGGAATCCGGATCACCCAAAAAATGGTGTGTTATAGCACACGAAAATCGTCAAAATGAGGGGTATGCTCGCTTCGGAGCTCGTTTGACCTTCCAAATGGGTCGGACAAGCCGCGATGGCCAACCGTATGCATAAACAAGGTCTTGACGGACGTCCACGAAAAAATTTGGCATTTTTGACGTCGGAATCTGGATCACCCAAAAAATGGTGTGCTATAGCACACGAAAATCGTCAAAATGAGGGGTATGTTCGCTTCGGGGCTCGTTTGACCTTCCAAATGGGTCGAACAAGCCGTGATGGCCAACCGTATGCATAGACAAGGTCTTGAAGTATGTCCACGAAAATTTTTGGCATTTTTAACGTCGGTATCCGGATCACCCAAAACATGGTGTGCTATAGCACATGAAAATTATCGAAATGAGGGGTATGCTCGCTTCGGGGCTCGTTTGACCTTCCAAATGGGTCGGACAAGCCGTGATGGCCAACCATATGCATAGATAAGGTCTTGACGAACGTCCACGAAAAAATTTGGCATTTTTGACATCGGAATCCGGATCACCTAAAAAATGGTGTGCTATAGCACAAGAAAATTATCGAAATGAGGGGTATGCTCTCTTCGGGGCTCGTTTGACCTTCCAAATGGGTCGTA